TAAAATAAAATTAGACTAATAATTAATAGATCAATTATTGAATTAAGTCCAATGCAATTGGTATAAAATCTTTTTTTTTTTAGCTTATAAACTTTAATTTTCGGATTGGCATCAAGAAACAACGTCAAAAGGGGCTGTGTGATTGTTTATTTTATTTTCTACTGTAAATATTATTTGGAAAGGGGGTGGCAATGTAAGAGGCTTGTGTGTAAATACATTGCTTAATTGAAAATTTTACGAATAAAGTTAAATCTATTTGGTATTTCAAGTAAAATACTCCTTAAAGCTAGATAATATTTGTGCCTTAATAAAAATATTATAATAAAATAAGTACATTTTTAATTTTTGTAAATATTATATTATTTTTTAGAGTTACATGATGTTTGAGTCTAACAATACTATTCAAGTGTAGTTTGTACAATGAAATTATTAAAATGACATTAACAAAATAATATAAGAAGAGTATTTTTTTTTTTTTTGACCAAGTTTACAAGGGTGGGTTTCGAACCCACCATGGGGGAGGGGGGAAATGCACCTGCAAGAGCAGCCCGAAGGTCACTTGGCCCGAAGGCCCAGGTGCAATATAAAAAAAGTTTTATTTAGTATGTTTTAAGAAATTTACATATTAAATTACATAATTTATTTTTATAATTAATTTATAAATAAAAACTACAAGACTAAGTCTTCTATAAATAAAATATGTTACTTTGCTCAATTGATAAGGAGCACTTTTTCCGGTGGCATCGGCAATGGAGAGTCCATTTTCTTCTTGGACACTGGTGGCGGATCGTAAGGGTTTCTGTGCAACATTTTTTGTCTCCCGCGAGACTGGGCCTAGGGACTTGGCCTTCTTCTTGGAAGGCTTTGGTTTGGGCATAACAAAAGAGATGTCTGGGGCCGGAGGTGGAATGGGAGGGAGAGCAACTGACCTATTAACCTCTGGTTGGGTCGGGCTACGTACTTGGGCTTCAACGATTGGACAAGGGTTGACGTCCATCTCAGCTGTACCATCATTTGAAATTGCTTTGTTTCCCGTCTCCGCCACTGCTTTTTTCTTTATTTGCCCCGATCAATTCGGTTTCCTCATCCATCAATTCCTCAATTATAGCAAAACGATTTTGTTGCGAGA